TGCAACAATTCAAAGCAATGCAGTTTCAGTAGACTATCAAAATAACCTTGTGTTATTTTTTCCTTACTTTTCTAGCTCTGTTTCCTTCTTTCTCAGCATTTTGGTAAGGACATCTTCGTGTGCATTGGACATTACGCCTTTTGCAGAGTTTGGTAAACACACTTAAAATATGTTGTTGTTTTCTTTCAAACCCACAATTACTGTTCACTTAACCAAAGAGCCAGAGCACTTGGCTCATCCTTTTGCCAGCTCAGATTCACCACGCAATGCAGCTAACTCCCTAGATGGGCCTTCCACCCCGAAATTTTCCACTTAAGCAAATTAATGATCAGGGAAGATGGGATACACCCAGACGAGAGAAAACCACTTATTCAGCAAGTCAAAAATGGATATGCTGACACTAAAACTTACAGTTGAAAGTGAAATGAATCCTACAAAGATTCCTAAATTTCAGCTGTCTGCTAGCTACAGTAAATATTTCAGAGGTGTCCCCAAGATGATTTTCATTGAGGACAAATCGCATGTTCCCCTACTGCAAAGCACAGACTGGCTTGATAGGGAATAGAGAGTCTTTTTATACCTTTAACAGATTTATTCCCTTATGTTCAATATTTTTCAGAAAGGATGTCACTCCCACAGAGAATTTAGCTGCTCCACATTTTAAGAACTCAAATGTTCCAAGTGAAACCAAACTGAAATTTCAGAAGCTGACATAAAAAAAAAATGGAAAGAGAAGAAAAAAGAAATAGTGTCTGCTGGTTTAGAAGGCTAAAAGCATTCACAGTAAAAGACAGCAGCAGCTAGAAATCTAGAAACGCATTGATCAAGCTAACCGTGATCTCACACAGCTTGAGGAACTTGCTTGTGTTTATGCTCTGCATGCCTATCTTTTCACATATAAAAGAAGACATCTGAAATGGATGAAACTTGAGAGCTTGCTTTGTAATCTTAACTATCCTCCCATAAACTTCACCAACAAAAATAATAATTAACATAGGTGTTTCATAATCCTTCCAAAATATTTTCTCAGTAAGCAGGTAAGACTCTGTTTAATGTGGGTATATGCCAATGCATGAAAACTATTCTAAACGTATATTTTTTGCAGTGGTCTGGAAGAACCTAAGACTAAATGTTAACACTCCCCAGCTGCAAAACCTGAATTAATGCGCAGTTCTGCACAGGACCTCAGATGAGGGAAAGTCAGGATGAAAATCACTTAAACACATTAACACTTTTAATTCTGTGCTATTCAAGAAGCTGGAAGGACTCTGATGTAATTTAGGACAGAGCAGGATCTGCCTGTACCAGAGTACGGGCTGCCTCAGAAGAGAGCACAAAAGGCAGAGCACGGTCACGCTGCAGGGACAGCGAGCAACAAGGAGCAGCCAGGCTCTTTATAGTCTGTTTTACTTTAAGTAAGCAGATGAGAATAAGCACCTCTCACCTCAATTTCCACCTTATACAGACTGAAGAGAAAACCTGGCTTGCCATTTAAAAAAAAAAAAAAAGTTGAAAAAAATGTTAGTTGCATGAAAAACACAAATTTTCCGTGTTTCAAGTAATGCAACTTGCATAAAAAAAGCATGGCTACACCTAGTTGAAACAGTTTTACTGTAGCCTTCATCGGGATATTTGATAATGTCTGTAAACCTAAACTTTAACCTGTGCCAGGAAGAATTAAATACTTCTGGTAACAATGGAACTAAAGTTAGCATTAATATATGTAGAGGCTTTTCTCAATGGAAAAGAAAGGCTCTACAAATCAATGGTGAATTCTAGCAAACAAAATCATACATTGTACAATAGCACAATTTGCAGAAAACCAGCCAAATGCAATATTTAACCTTGGCAAGTGTCACTTATTTTTTCAAAGAAATAATTTAGATTTTCCTGGTAGATATAAGCTCTACATGAACACGCAAGTCTTGCATTATATGTACATACTTCTTCTGTGTGAAATCCTGCACATGCGTTCAACTTGACCAAGTCTTAGAGCTTTTGCATTATATGTACATACTTCTTCTGTCTTAGAGCTCAGTCTTGGTCTTAGAGCTGCCAGGGTTATTTGATAATGTCAATTCTGCTGCATTTATCACAATAAAAAAAACTAAGATATTAAAGACAAAAGCTGTTTAATCAACTCTGTGAGTCACCAGAGATAATGTAGATGATTAGTTCCCAGAAACTAACTGATCAGAAATCAAAAATTAAGTTTTATGTTTTGATTGTTGTTACACCAAAATATTATACTGCATATTCATCTAAACTGAAAAGCAAATAAAAACAGAATGAAATATTGCAAACATCCTAAAAACAGCAGTACTGATGTGATTTTCAGTTACAGAGTTTTCCCCTATGTGGTTCAGTACCTGAGAAGAGGCAAGAGACAGAACCTCGAAGACATTGTGCCAATTCTCTGCACAATTCCTTTAGTTAAATTTTCATGTCCTTCCCACTCTTACTTCATCCCATAATCCCACAACACTATTGTGTAAGAGGCATTCAATCTGGAATGCCAAATCCCCAAACACACTTATTGCCATTTCATTCAAGGTCTCCAATAAGGCTGAGGTTGTTTGGTTGATGTCTGGGAAATTTTGGGCACTGTATGTATTTTAGGAAGGTGTGTGACTTGTATGTGATGAAGAAATGGTCTACATGGTCACTGTTAAACAAATCACAAAAAAAAGATCACCAATAGAAAAGAGCAAGAGGAACATCAGGCTTAGGAAAAAAATATACTTAAGCAAGCAGATAATGTATAACACAACATGCAGTTAATATGAAAACAAACCCCGAAGAATGGGGACACTAAAAGTAAACAAAACAATCTGTTAATATTTTAAGACAGACGCCTACAGCCTGATTTCCAGTTCACTAGCTACAATTCGGTTCAAATGCTGATGTGTATTGGCTATTCACCTCAAGCAACACTACTGCAGCTGCCATACCATTTGGTCTTTTAACAGGATTTTCTCCCTGATTCTCCTATATTCTTGAGTGTGTAACATGCTCCCCAAAGCACAGAGCCACCCGAGTTGAGCTTTCAGGAACAGAGCAGTAGTGGTACTCCCATGTATTTTCTTCTGCTTTTACAGTTGCAAACATCCCAATAAAAGTAATGGGGAATGGGTCACATTACAAAGACTGATCACTTGACATTTACTCAAGCTCCCTTTACATTTTGAATCTGTGCAAAATACTCCCTTAAAAAAGGTATTGCATTGCAACAAGATTAATGAAGTAAAGTGCCAACTGCCAGCGCCAAGTGCCAAAGCAGCATTAAAAATTTGATTTATAAACAAAGGAACCTCACTGGCAAAGCTGCAAACCAAACAACAAAAGGACTGGGAATTCAGAGCAGCTTTTTGGTTAAATGTTCATAGTAGAAGATATGCAGGCATAATAATCGGTGTATTCTTTGGAACTGCAAGAAAATACTACTGAATTCAGAACAAAATTTTACACTGTTTGTTTTACACTCAAGATTTTACACAGTTTGGGGATGTTAACCATTTGAGAACAGAAATATCACATCTGCACATTATACACTTGGGAGGCTGAATTACAAAGATTTTGATCTATTTGAAGGAGAGGGTGGGCTTTTGTTTTTTTCTGAGAAGAGTTACTACTTACACATGCAGATTTAGAGGGCAAAATACAGCAGGCTATGTAGTACGTGAAGTATCCCCTCCACTGGTATTAGAAAAATCTGGCACCTTAACAGTTTACCCACAAACAGTGACTACACTCAAGTTAAACTGAATGCAGAAACCTTTTACATGAGGTCCTAAATGAAGGACGAGTAAGTGCCTTGGAGAAACATAGCTGAAATGCTCAAAATCCAGGAGAACTGTAAGAAAAATACTCTATTTTTTTTCCCTCCATATATCTGTAACAAAGATTTCTTAATCAAGTAAACATAGTTCTTCAAAAATACCATGAGAATCAAAAATATTCCAAAAGATCCGTCTGGAGCTTAACATCACCGCTGTACACACTTCTCTCCCATAAAGCTACAATCTCAAAAGCAAGCAAGCAAAATCCTGGAACAAACCCAAGGCAACCGCAACAGACTCTCTAGGCAAAAAAATCTTCTGGAGCAAATGAGGCAAGCACAAACTGTAAAAGAAGGAGCTGCTAGTACTAAACAGGATTAAGGACTAGCATGAAGGAGCTTCTCAAAAGAGCTAATTCTAGGCTAATGTTTCTGCTCTGCAACTGAGAATTTTCCTGCCGATTTCTGCCACGTAAATCTAAGAATGCATCTGAAAATTCCACCTCTTGGAAGGGGGAGTGTCTCCCCAGGCAAGAGCTCCCAGGGCAACCAGCAGAGAATGATGCATTAAAGACAGGATGATGCTATTTGTATGGAAAGCACAGCCTCCAAAACAAGGTAGACACAAAGGACTTGAATAGATTATTTTCTTATATGACAGGGTAAAGATAAGTATCGTAATTTAAATACATCCACTGGTTTAGAAAAATGCCGCCACTTCATTTTTAAAGACAGTTTGATTAAATACAAAAGAAAATTGGGAAAAAAGAAATCCAGAGTAGACCATTCTTCAGATTTGCATATATTGAAAGAATCAAGAAAAAGAACCTGATCTTTCAGTAAACCTGCCCAAAGATGACCATATTTCACAAATATGTTTTTAATTTTGCTTCTGCTAAATCTGGATCATTAACATTAGCTTAATTAAAAAGCACCAAGGCCCAAGTTTCACTGCATACTTTTGAATATTCATGAAGTCACCTCACTCATTTCTTTGATCCCATGGTACAAGGTTAGCAACAGCCCCCAAAAGACCCAAGATGCAGACAGGTACGTGCTGGCATGCTTATTACAGCAAATACTTGCAAATAGCTACAGCTCTTTAATGGGCATTATTTTCACTCTATTAGGTAATTCCTCACAACACCAATAGGCATTTTATTTCACCAAGACCACAAGAACACGGTAAAGTCATCTTTACCTCAGTGTTCAAGTTACTCACCTATGGACATAATGCAGCTGATGAACGGAATCAATAGCTATCACCATTTCGGCCAAATAAAAACGAGCCATGTCTTCAGGGAGCCTGTCCTCAAACTTGCTGAGCAAAGTAAGCAGGTCTCCTCCGACGTAGTAATCCATAACCAGGTACTATGGAAGAGGGAGCAGTAAGACATCAAAAAGAGAAAACAATTTATGGAGTGAATCGGAGACTAAAAACAACCCAAGTATCAATATAATTTATTGCAAAAATTATTATGAGCATTACAAAAGCTAGCTTAACATTTCCTAGAACTGTAATTCTCCATAAACTGAGATTTACATATAGACAAATATATTAAGCTTCATGATTAAACATTACCAGCTCCATTGACCACCCTCTTAATCAATTTTGTTTTATGACATTTAGATAATCTGGATTCTTTTAAAAAAACACTGAATTCCTCAACTGAACACAAAGTCATAAGGGATTAAAATACATAATTGTAAAAATAAAACCAACAGTGTTAAACTGTGATGTTAGACAAGGACTCTAATATGCCAGTACTGTATATGACAGTGTTTCCCTTTTGTTTTTTTGCTACTGTCTTTTCCCATTAAACAAATTATTTTGGAGAAGAAACATTTCAGACTACTCAGTGGTTACGGGAAAGACTGACAGCCTTCCATTGGCTTAAGGAATAAGTTTGGATATTGTTGACATTAGGCAAAATATAGGTTCTCCCAACATATATTAGAATATATTACCTACTGTAAATAAAATTACGGAGACAAATTCAGGATACTAAGGTTTTGAAGACTACAACTGCACAAAACTATTATAAATGCAAAAGAAAGAAAAAGCACAGACTTAAGGATATTAAATTCTGGTAATTAATATAGATTAATAACATGGGCATTTAATCATGAATCCAGATAATTGCATAAATGCCATTTGGATTATACTTAATTTTAATAACACACACACACAGAAGTAGTTACACACTGAAACATATTAAAATGATGAAAAACAACTTTAAGGATGCCCTTCCCAACAACATGTCTAACTAGCTCACACTGGCAGGCTATCAAGTTAAACAAGTTGTTTTCTGCTTAACAAATATAAAGAAACTAGAGTTAAACAAATTCCAGCAGGCTGAAGCTACATATATAACATTTTCCTTGCATTATCATTAACATTAAGAGGAGAATTGCGTACGAGGAGTGTTGTCTATTGTCCAGATTAATTAAGCATGAAAGTGTTGGGAGGGGAAGTTTAGACAATTCGATTTACGAATGCAGAACCCTTTGTATAAATAAACTCAACTGGGAGCCACAGATCCCTCACTGTACCTATACCGGCAAAACTGAAAGAAATGCAACAGCAAAAAGCACTGCGATTCTGGTAGAGCACTGTGTATAGCACTTCTTCTATTGGACAGACTATATTTATATCTATATATCTCTCTATATAAAATGACTATTCACTGCATATTAGATTTTGAAGGAAACATTAAAATCTAGTAATGACATGGCACCCAAAAGCACAGCATAACAGAACCCAAATAAGCAAAATCTATCACCTTGTAGTTATTTATCTTTTAAAGCATAAGTATTACTGCAGCTGTAATATCACAGTCAAAATATATTTAAGTGGGAAAGATGTCATAGAAAATTGGCACTACTCCTTACATTAGCTTCTTTTTGCAAGTCTTGCAAAATATTTGAAAGCTAAAGTATATAAAATATTAAGCAGATACTTTAATCTAGTTACAATCTCCAACTCTATTTACAAAGATTTAGTAGCACTTTCCATATTGTAAGGACCTTTTTTTTTTGCTCTTCAGCATCTTACTGTTTTTAAGTCCTCAAAGAAATTAAAATTAAATTAAAATAGTAAATATAAATAAAATAAAGTTAAAAAGGCAAAGCCCCATCAGAACGAACTCAGGACCCCTTTCCTCCTTGTTGTTTCAAAAATTGGGTTACACTCTATTAACGAACGTGAAACAGCAAACAGCGACGTTAAACACAAAAAATTGGGTCAAACAGAAAGCTAATGTTAGAAACAGGCATACTTTTATTTCCAGGAATCTGATTACACTGCAGGTACAACATTATATTTCAATTATAAGAAAAGGGACAAAACTAAAAAGGTCTTTAATCAATAAAGTGATTCAGGAAACAAAACTCCATTCTTGAGATATTTATAGCAAAACTAAAAATTTCCGATCATCCTCCATCCTTCAGAGTCTTATATACAGATTCATTCGGTACAAGTGATGGTACAAAATATAAAACGAACAACTTCACTGGCATCTCAAATCAGGACTAACAACCTGAAGATCCATTAATCTATACAAAAAGAGCAATACTTACTAAATAGTTTTCATCCTGGAATGCATAATGTAACGTTGTGATCCACTGGTTATCTCCATTCACTAACACATCTCTCTCTTCTCGAAAACAGGCTGTCTGAAGGGAAGAAAAAGAATTATTATAGGTTTTAACTAAAATATATAACAAAACACATTTTGTAAGCTGAGTATTTATTTTTAAAATAATATTTGAAAGAAAATTGTCTCTCAGTTAAAAAGTCAGTTACCACTCCCTCCAAACATGTCAAAATGTGAGAAAAACCTTTAAAACCAGAAAACTTCACCTTCATTAAACGGAACGTTGTTGAACTGAGGCAAGGGAGGAAATAGAGCTTCTTCTCATTGTCTAAAAATCCCTAGTCAAAAGCTGATCCTTCTTATATGTACACATACTAAAATCAAGCACCAGTGATGACAGAGCAGCAATATAACATAGAAAAAAAATAACAGTAGCATCATATAATTATAACTGCAGCAGGAGTTGACTAGAATCTGGACTCTTATATTACTGATTTTTCTTGCTGCTCATCTGGTTTTTCACTGCTCCCTTCACATAAACAAATTGCTCTTTTCATTTAAAAGCAGCTGCTATTAACTTCCATCTAGCCATAAGTTGGCAATCAGAAACCAATTAGGGTTTTCCCCATGCTTTTGCTAAGAAAAATGAGGACAGACTGAAATTTTATTTTTTAGGTGACTGC